TTTCTCTTACATAACTGCGGTGGAGTTACAAAATTCAGTAGATTTAATATTGATAATGATATTTTCTCATCAACAGTTCATATTCCAAATGTGGCCAGTTGTCTTGGTGTTCCTCTAGCTTTTTTTCTTTTCCCTCCAATACTTGATCCAGCCCAGGATCAAGGACTGCATTGAGTTGTCATGTCTCTTTAGACTTCTTTGGTCTGGAAAAGTTCCTCAGCCTTTCTTTTCTTTTTCTTTTTTCTTTCTTTTTTTTTTTTTTTTTTTGAGACAGTTTCACTCTTGTTGCCCAAGCTAGAGTGTAATGGCGCAATCTTGGTTCTCTGCAACATCTGCCTCCCAGTTCAAGTGATTCTTTTGCCTCAGCCTCCCAAGTGGCTGGAATTACAGGTGCATGCCACCAGGCCGGGCTAATCTTTGTATTTTTGGTACAGATGGGGTTTCATCATGTTGATCAGGCTGATCTCAAATCCTTGACCTCATGATCCACCCACCTCGGCTTCCCAAAGTACTAGGATTACAGGCAGGAGCCACCATACCCAGCCCAGCCTTTCTTTATCTTGCATGATTTTACCATTACTGAAGAATACAGGACAATTGTTTTGTAGACAGTTTCTCAATGTGGGTTTGTCTGATAGCCTCATTGTTAAACTCAGGCTATGCGTCTCCAACTAGGATACTATGTAAGTATTGCTGTATCCTTTTAAGAGCATCACCTGTGGGGGCATGTGATATCTGACAGATTCTTATTAGTGAGGTTAATTTTGATCATACAGTCAATGCCCTGTCTGGTCTCTCTGTTGTTGATTAGTTTGAATATATTCAAATTGTTCAATATATATATTCATGCACTCATCCCTAGATGGACACAAGGGCTGCTTCCATGTTTTGGCTGGTTGTGAATAATGCTGCTATGAACAAGGGGAGGGTGTACAAATACCTCCTTGAGACCTTGGTTTCTTTTTTCTTTTTTTGAGACAGGATCTTGCTCTGTCACCCAGGCTGGAGTGCAGTAGTGTGATCTCGGCCCACTGCAACCTCCATTTCCCAGGCTTAAGTGATCCTCTCACCTCAGCCTCCCGAGTAGCTGGGACCACTGGGACCATTGCACCCTGCTAATTTTTGTATTTTTTGTAGAGATGGGGTTTCATCATGTTGCCCAGGCTGGCCTTGAACTTCTGAGCTCAAGCAATCCGCCCACCTCAGCTTCCCAAAGTCCTGGGATTACAGGTGTGAGCCACGGCACCAGGCTGGTGTGTCCATTTCTATTGGAATGTCATTGGTGGCTTTAAGCCCTTATAGCAGATAGAGCTGGGTGTGCTTATGTTCCAGTCTAGTAAATCCCACAGGGTCCTTCCTTCACTTCATACTTGGGGAATAGCTGAACGTCAGTTTGACTGACAGAGGGCAGGCTGCAGGCAGAGGGCAGGCTGCATGCAGTGGAAGCTGCTGGGCTCTGTCCAGCCCTGGGACTCTGCAATATCAATACTGGCTGTTGTCTCTTCTCACCCTAGTACTGTTGGTTTCTCATGATTGCATTTTTGTCAGTCCCAAGGTGACACATACATGTATTACCTGGTCACTGGATGCAAAAGTACTCATTCATTATACCTCCCTCATAGCCTCCACTCTGCTGTACTGATAGGATTTAATTGTGTTTAGAACATTGCAAATCTTGAAGTTCTTCCCCAAATCAGGTCAATGTGTGCCCTCTTCCTGAGCTCCCACTCAAGCGTCTTCAGTGCTTATGACCACAGGTCCCCCAACTCCACCTCTCACAGTTTGGTCCTGTTTCTAGCAGAGTCAGGAAGTTTACTCAATTAAGGACCTTTTCTGCACCTTCTGATTTTACTTAAGCAGCTACCATTCCATGGATTTGCCTCCCTGAGCAGCGCAATGCCCGTCTGAGCCCCACCTAGCAGTAGCCTCTGGGGCTGGGCACACAGGCTGAGCCTCCATGCTGTCTCCTCTGCCCTGGGCCTTAAACTTGGGGTAAGGGCGGGGGGCAACCTCTTGCCAGCTTTCCAGTCCTTCAGTTCAATGATGTCTTCAGGGCATTTTTGTTTTCTCTTCCCAGGCCTGTCCCATTGTGTTAGGAAGGTTGAGTGACCTGGTTCCAGGGCTGGTTGGTGCTGGCTCCTGTGGGTGGAGTGACCAAAATTGGTTCTCCCTGTGCATCCTTTGATTAGTCTCATGCTGCAGTTACTGTTTACATCTGTTTTATTGTACATAGGTTTGTAAACATTATTCAGTGTTAAGACATTTGTATATAACTTGGGCTTGTAGCTTTTATTCAGAAATCATATGGCATGTTCATGACTTACGATGGTGTCCTATGCTGGGCAGGTATATGGGATCATCATGTGGTGACAAAAAATATTTCCCCTCAAAAAAAAGTCTTCTAATGTGGAAAAATAAATTTCACAGAAAAAAAATGAATCTAGACACAGATCTTACATCCTTCACAAAATTTAAGTCAAAATGGATCACAACCCAAAATGGAAAATGAAAATCTATAAAACTCCTAGAAAATAACATAGGAGAAAATACAGTTGATCTTGGGCATGATGATGACGTTTTAGATACAACACATGATCCATGACAGAAATAGCTGATAGGCTGGACTTCATCATAAATAGAAATTTCTTACCTGCACAAGACACCATCAAGTAAATTAGAAGAAAAGCCACAGACTGGGAGAAAATATTTGCAGAAAACACTTAATAAAGGACTGTTATACAGAATATACAAAGAACACTCAAGATTCAACATTAAGAAAAGAAACAGTACAATTTTTTTTTTTTTTTTTTTTTTTGAGATGGAGTTTCACTCTTGTTACCCAGGCTGGAGTGCAATGGCGCGATCTCGGCTCACCGCAACCTCCGCCTCCTGGGTTCAGGCAATTCTCCTGCCTCAGCCTCCTGAGTAGCTGGGATTACAGGCATGCGCCACCATGCCCAGCTAATTTTTTGTATTTTTAGTAGAGACGGGGTTTCACCATGTTGACCAGGTTGGTCTCGATCTCTCGACCTCGTGATCCACCCACCTCGGCCTCCCAAAGTGCTGGGATTACAGGCTTGAGCCACCGTGCCCAGCCCTTTTTTTTTTTTTTTTTTTTTTTGTGACGGAGTTTCACTCTTGTTACCCAGGCTGGAGTGCAATGGCGCGATCTCGGCTCACCGCAACCTCCGCCTCCTGGGTTCAAGCAATTCTCCTGCCTCAGCCTCCTGAGTAGCTGGGATTACAGGCACGCGTCACCATGCCCAGATAATTTTTTGTATTTTTAGTAGAAACAGGGTTTCACCATGTTGACCAGGATGGTCTCGATCTCTTGACCTCGTGATCCACCTGCCTTGGCCTCCCAAAGTGCTGGGATTACAGGCGTGAGCCACCGCGCCCGGCCTAACAGTACAATTTTAAAATGGGCAAAAGACCTGAATAGATGCCTCACCAAAAAGATATACAGATAGAAAATAAGCATATAAAAAGATGCTAAATACCATATGTCATTACAGAATTGCAAGTTAAAACAAGATGCCACTATACAACTATTACAGTGGCCAAAATGCAAAACACTGACAATGCCAAATGTCAGCAAGGATGTGGAGCAATAGGAACTCTTAACCATTGCTAGTGGGAATGCAGAGTGGCACAGCCACTTCGGAAGACAGTCTGGCAGGTTCTTGCAAATGTTAACCTACTCTTACCATATGATGCAGTAGTTCTGCTCCTTGATATTTATCCAAAGAAGGTGAAAACTTGCATCTACATAAAAGCCTACACATGTATGTCTATAGCAGTCTTATTCATAATTACCAAAACTTAGAAGCAACCAAAATGTCCTTCAGTTGGTAAATGAAGGCTGGACATGGTGGCTTATGCCTGTAATCCCAACACTTTGGAAAGCTGAGGTGGGAGGATCACTTAAGCCCAGGAATTTAAGACCAGCCTGGGCAACATAGGGAGACCCCATCTCTACAAAAAGGTAAAAATAAAAAAATTAGCTGAGCATGGTGGTGCATGCTTGTAGTCCCAGCCACTTGGTAGGCTGAGGCAGGAGGCTCACTTGGGCCTAGGAGATCAAGGCTGCAGTAAGCCATGATTGCACCGCTGTACTCCAGCCTTGGCCACAGAGTGAGACCCTGTGTCAAAAAAACAAAAACAAACCAACCAAAAAAACCTAGATGAATGCGTAAAGTATGGTACATCTAGACAATGGAATATTATTCAGCCATTAAGATACGAAAAGATGGGCTGGGCACAGTGGCTCATGCCTGTAATCCCAGCACTTTGGAAGGCTGAGGTGGGCAGATCACAAGGTCAGGAGTTCAAGACCAGCCTAACCAACATGGTGAGATACCATCTCTACTAAAGATACAAAAAATTAACTGGATGTCATGGCACATGCCTCTAATTAGAAGGCTGAAGAAGGAGACTTACTTGAAAACGGGCAGCAGAGGTTGCAGTGAGCTGAGATTGCACCATTGCCCTACAGCCTGGGCGACAGGGCAAGACTCCATCTCAAAAAAAAAAAAAAAAAAAAAGACATGGAGAAAACTTAAATGCACAATATTAAGGGAGAGAAGCCAATCTGAAAAATCTACATATTGTATGATTCTAACTATGACATTCTGGGAAAGGCAAAACTACGGAAACAGTAGAAGGATAAGTGCATGCCAGGTGTTAGGCAGGAGGGAGGGATGAATAGGTGGAGCACAGAAGATTTCTTGGGCAACTGTTCTGTATGATGCTGTTGATGTGGTTTGGCTGTGTCTCACCCAAATCTCATTTTGTAGCTCCCATAATTCCCACATGTTGTGGGAGGGACCCAATGGGAGATGTTTGAATTATGGGGGTGGATCTTTACCATACTGTTCGTGTGGTAGTGAATAAGTCTCATGAGATATGATGGTTTGCCATTTCACTCGGTGTTCATTTTCTCTTTGCCTGCTGCCATCCATGTAAGATGTGACTTGTTCTTTCTTGCCTTCCACCCTGATTGTGAGGCTTCCCCAGCCACATGGAACTGTAAGTCCAATTAAACCTCTTTCTTTTACAGATTGCCCAGTCTCAGATATGTCTTTATCAGCAGCATGAAAACAGACTAATAACAACTGTCATGATGGATAAGGTTCATTACACATGTGTCAAAACCAATAGAGTGTGTAACACCAAGAGTGAACCCTAATGTGACCTATGGGCTTTGGGTGATAATGATGTGTCCATGTAGGTTCTTCCTTTGTAACAACTGTTCCACTCTGGTGTTGGATGTTGATAGAGGGGGAGGCTGTGGATATGTTGGGTAGGGGATATATAGGAAATCTGTATACTTTCCACTCAATTTTGCTGTGAACCTAAAACTGCTCTAAAAAGGACCAGGCACGGTGGCTCACGCCTGTAATCCCAGCCCTTTGGGAGGCCGAGGTGGGTGGATCACAAGGTCAAGAGATCGAGACCATCCTGGTCAACATGGTGAAACCCCGTCTCTACTAAAAATACAAAACATTAGCTGGACATGGTGGCACGTGCCTGTAATCCCAGCTACTCAGGAGGCTGAGGCAGGAGAATTGCCTGAACCCAGGAGGCGAAGGTTGTGGTGAGCGGAGATCGTGCCATTGCACTCCAGCCTGGGTAACAAGAGCAAAACTCTGTCTCAAAAAAAAAAAAAAAAAAAAACTGTTCTAAGAAATAAAATCTAGTAAAATACATTTGTTGAGTGACTGATACATAATAAAATATCCAACTAGTGCAGGTTATTATGGTCATTGTCCTTATTTAATATGTCGTATCCATAGCTCATATGCCATAATCCTGTGATGGTAAATGGCTGGAGTGCAGTGAAGGATCTCAGCTCACAAAAACCTCCGCCTCTGTGGTTCAAGTGATTCTCTGCCTCAGCTGCCAGAGTAGCTGGGATTACAGGCAACCACCACAGCCCCAGCCAATTTTTGTATTTTTAGTAGAGATGGGGTTTCACCATGTTGGCCAGGCTGGTCTCAAATTCCTGACCTTGAGTAATCTACCGCCTCAGCCTCCCAAAGTGCTGGGATTACAGGCATGAGCCACTACCCCCATAGAATGTTTTTTTAAAAATATGCTTCATTCCTATTTGGAATCCTCAGATTTAAATTCTGAAAGCATAGACTGATAGAGAAAGGGTACACTGGGAAAAACAGACTGTGAGCATTGATTGAGCACTTACTAACTGCCAAGCAACTTCACTATATTTACTTGTGTCCCTCACAACCCCTCTGAGGCAGCTGCTGAACAACAGTAGGGTCTCTCTGCAGTTGGACTGCCTGGTTTGAATACTGGCCTCGCCGCTTACAAGCTATAGAAACTTGGGTCATATTCTGTAGCCTCTCTGTGCCTCAGTTTTCTCATTTGCTAAATACACACACACACACACACACACACACACACACACACACAGACACACACACATTCAATAATTGGGAGAACTGAGACTTAAACACAGATATCATCTGATGACAGACAGACAAGTGTATAGGCAATTACAAGGGCACTAAGAGATGTGATAAGAGACAGCCTGGGATCTGCAGCAGTCCTACGGATGGCTTTATGCAGGTCTGGGCTAGGTCTGGAAGACTTCAGGAGGAGATGGTGGCTTAAAGGAGGAACAGAAGTTTTCCAGATGACCAAATGAAGAAGGTAGCAGACAGCAGGGATCATGTGCAAAAGCCCAGATATGAACAGGCTCATGGAGAACTGCAAATTATTTAGGGTGGATGAATCACAGAGCATAACTTGGGGTGTGATGGCAGCTAGCCAAAGCTCATCACAGACCATGGAGGCCCAGGAGAACATTTATGTTCTTGGAACCTGCAGTTTTAAAGCATTCTCTCCTCCCACCCCATATGTATATGTGTATATTGCTAATATATATTAAATTATATATATATGTGTATATATATATATGCATATACACACACACACACACACATATATATATATATATATATATATATATATATATATATCTCACTGGTTCCAGAGTCATAAATAATAATAAATATTATTTTTCCAAGGCCAAAAGTAATAATCTGTATAATTTTACACATATATACAAAAGCATATCAGCCTCTGGCCAGTAGGGCCAGAAGAGCTTTAGGTGAAGCAGGGATGGTCTCCAGGGACTCCACCCACCCCAGCTTTCCTGCCACCCTCCCTCACCTCTTTGCAGAACCCCCAAAAACCTTCACAAAACACCATTTTACAGATGAAAAAACAGACCCGGAGGTAAGTGACTGGCCCACCAGCCCTCCCAGCCCAGGGCCTGTCAGCTTTGCACTCCTATGAAGCTTCTCTGTGAGATAAGAGCTCTGAAGATGGTTGGGAAGAAGAAGGAGGACAGGCAGTTTTGTTCAGATGACCTCAAAGTCTCCCTTTTGGGGGCCTTGGTACTGTCATCTGGACAAAGGGGAAGGCTGAGCAAGACTACCACAGAGAGACTGCCCATCCCTGGACCCTGTGCTCATCAGCTGGGCCTCAATCCCTTATCAGGGACCCCATCCACAGGTGCAAGATCTCAGGCTTTGTCCTTCCAAACTCTACCCCCAGTCTCTGAGTGGAGGTTGGGGGTGCCCAATAACTGCCTGTGAATGGAGCCCAAGGACAGAGTGCTGAGCAGAGGGACAGGCGGCCCTACTGGCCAGGAGCTGATGTGATCTAACCTGGCGGCTCACAGTATTTTTAGGCCTTTGTGTTCACCCCTGCCCTTGGGCTAGCAGCAGATTAGAGAAAAACAAAAATGGAATGACCTCTGCTTGGCCTGACAGCGCCACTGAAAGGAAGGAAAGACTGGGAAAATGCAAAACAGCCTTTGATTTATTTTTGCTTTCTCTTCTCTCAGCAAGCAGGAGCGAGGCTGGGACTTGTGAGCAGCTTGTGGGGCATCAGGAGGGCCCCTCACTCCTGCAGATGCCTCATTCGGAACCAGGAATTTCCTCCCATCCGCCCTGGAAAACTCAAGCATCTGCTCACGTCCCCTCCAAGCTGAGGGCCTTGGAAGACTCATGAGCGCCTGTGACTGGCCACACTGTCCAGTCTCACCCATCGTGGCACTGTTTATTTACCTAACAAACACTGATGTGCCAGGTACTATTCTCAGCACTTCCTAAAACCAACTCATTTCATTCTCAAACAACTTCACTTTTACAGATGGGCAAACTGAGTTTCAGTGAGAGATGGTTTAACCTGCCTGAGACCTTAAGCAGCAGGGCTGGGACTCACAGGTGGGCAGTCCAGCTCCAGAGAACACACTCACACCCTCCTGGCTAAGCCACTGCTCCACCAAGTCTGACATCCTTCAAGGACACAGGATACCAGGAAACTCCCCTCTGAAGTAGTCCCCATTACTCTCACAACCCCCAAGACCACTCACATACAGTGGGAGCCTGTTGTCCCAGAATGATTTTTTAATATATTTTTTCTTTTTTTTAGACAGAGTCTCACTTCTGTCACCCAGGTTAGAGTGGAATGGTGCCACCTCAGCTCACTACAACCTCTGCCTCCCAGACTCAAGCAATTCTTGTGTCTCAGCCTCCCGAGTAACTGGAATTACAGGTACCCATCACCATGCCTGGCAAATTTTTAGTAGACACAAGCTTTCACCATTTGGCCAGGCTGGTCTCGAACTCCTGACTGTAAGTGATCCACCCACCTCAGCCTCCCAAAGTGCTGGGATTACAGATATGAGCCACTGTGACCAGTCTTTTTTTCTTTAGAGACAAAGTCTCACTCTATCGCCAAGGAGTATGATGGGGCCGTCACACCGAAAGCCGAAATTTTGCCGAAAGCCTGAGGGGGCAAAAGGAGAACTGAAATCCACTCAGCAGATATTTCTACACTGGCCCTTCTGGCTCCTTCTCTTCTTAGCCTTCCACCTGTTGTTCTAGGTCCAGGCCCTGTCATCAGAATTCCTTATTATCTTCCCTGAGTTTAGGAATCCTTTCCTAGTCCACGCTCCAGCCAGAGTGAGTAAATCCAAGGGACACCTCCATAATTTCCTCAGAGATGTCTCCTCCCTGCTCTCAGGGAGCACAGTTATGAAGTGTCTCATCAGCACCTGCGTGGGGCATCAGCACAGGAAGTGCCTCCTAGACACGTGCTGATGGAGAAATGCAAGGCTGTTTCAGTCCCCTGGGCCCAGGGTTTCTTCCTTCCAGATAAGGGCTTTCATTTTTATCTTGGAAAACAGAACACCCTGTAAAGTGTGTCCCTAAATAAAAAAGCAATCTTAGCCCAAAGGGTAACTCTAGCGTCACCCAAGAAGAGGTCTGAACTGGAAAACCCCTTTTAAATAAGCATCCCTCCATTCCCTGCAGAATGCATAGGAACAGCTGTAATAACTGAGCAATACATTCGTGGCGTATAATTACAAAAGTTTATTTGGTCTCCCAGGATCTTTTCAAATGCTTTCAGTGCTTCTGGGTGAAAAATTCAACACTTCCATGGCATTTCTGATCATTCCAGGTGTGATGGTTCATTTTATTCGTTAACTTGGCTAAGCTGTGATGTCCCCAGATTTTGGTCTGAGTGTTTTTTGTTTTTGTTTTGTTTTGTTTTGAGACAGAGTCTCTCTCTGTTGCCCAGGCTGGAGTGCAGTGGTGCAATCACAGCTCACTGCAGCCTCTGCCCACCCCCCACCCTCACCCTGTTTAAGTGATTCTCTTGCCTCAGCCTCCTGAGTAGCTGGGACTGCAGGTGTGCACCACCACGCCTGGCTAATTTTTGAATTTTTAGTAGAGACAATGTTTTGTCATGTTGGCCAGGCTGGTCTTGAACTCCTGACCTCAAGTGATCCGCCTGCCTTGGCATCCCAAAATGCTGCGATTGCATGCATGAGCCACTGCACCCAGCCAGTCTGGGTGTTTTTCAAATGGGATTAATATTTAAATCAGCAGACTGAATGAAGCACATTGCCCACCATGATGCGGATGGGCCTCACCAAATAAGTTGAAGGCCTGAATAGCCTCAAAAGACCAGTCTCCACAACCCCTCCTCGAACAAGAGGGAATTCTCCAGCAGGTGGCCTTCAGACTTCACCTGCAGCATTGGCTCCTTCTGGTTCTATGAAGGAGGACACCATCAGCTCTCCTAGGTCTCCAGCCGCCATAATTGCATGAACAAGTTTTTACAATGAATCTCTTCCTGTAAATATCCATACCCTCTTGATTCTGCTTCTCTAGAGAATACTAACTAATTCACCAGGCTTTTTTTTTTTTTTAAGCTTTATATTCATTTTAGGTTTTTAAATACAGTCTTAGAATGTCCAGTCTGGGAGCAGCTAAATTTCCAACTTTAAGTTTACTACAGTGTGGGTGGATCCCTTTTTCTCTGTCTCTACCATAAAGTCTCCCCTGCCCTCAATCTTTCTTAGGTGGTTTCTAACCCCTGGCATGGGGCTGGGAGGGGGCAAGGGAGGGAGGTGCTGTCAGCAAGCCGGAGATTTTTTCCTTGTGTGATACGGGTCCAGGATGGTTTTTGACTGATCTGTGTGTCAAGATGATTCATTTTGTTATCTCCTGGGGTGCTTTCACGGATTCTGGAGACATCCCCACTCCCAGCTGAGAGCCTCTCATCCTGCCTTTTGCTGTGGGAGACACACTCACCTCCCACTGGTGGCTCTCTCCTTGGCTCCTGATTTTTCCCTTCCCTCTGAGTTGGCATGCATCAATGCTTCATCTTCCAAAGACATGCCTAGAACCTGACCACTTCGCACCACCTTGTCTGCTCTTACTCTGTTGTGAGCCAACATCATCTCTCAGTTGGAAAAGATTCCTCCCTAGACATTTCTCCAAAGAAGATATACAAGTGGACAACAAGCACATGAAACATCAATAGTCATTAGGGTAATGCAAATCAGAACTACAGTGAGATACCCTTTCACACCTATTAGCACAACTTTTGTTTAAAAAAATGGAACATGCCGGGCGCGGTGGCTCAAGCCTGTAATCCCAGCACTTTGGGAGGCCAAGGCGGGTGGACCATGAGGTCAAGAGATCGAGACCATCCTGGTCAACACGGTGAAACCCCGTCTCTACTAAAAATACAAAAATTAGCTGGGCATGGAGGCGCACGCCTGTAGTCCCAGCTACTAGGGAGGCTGAGACAGGAGAATTGCTTGAACCCAGGAGGCGGAGGTTGCGGTGAGCCGAGATCGTGCCATTGCACTCCAGCCTGGGTAACAAGAGCGAAACCTTGTCTCAAAAAAAAAAAAAAAAAAAAAATGGAACATAACAAGTGGTGGTAATGATGTGGAGAAATTTTGAAACGCTTATACATTGTTGGTGGGAACATAAAACGGTGCAGCTGCTATGGAAACTGTACGGTGCTTTCTCAAAAAGTTAAAAATATGCTGAGTACAATGGCTCTTGCCTGTAATCCCAGCACTTTGGGAGGCAGAGACAGGAAGATCACTTAAGCCCATGAGTTTGAGACCAGCCTGGGCAACATACGGAGACCCCACCTCTACAAAAGATTTTTAAAAATTAGGCAGCCATGGTGGTGCATGCCTGTAGTCTTAGCTACTTGGGAGGCTGAGGTGAGGCTTCACTTGAGCCTGTGAGGTTGAAGCTGCAGTGAGCTGTGATTGTGCCACTGCACTCCAGCATGGGAAACAGAGTGAGACCCTGAAAAGAAAGAAAGAAGAAAGAAAGAAGGAAAGAAAGAAAGAAAAGAAAAGGAAAGAAGGAAGGAAGAAAAAGAAAGAAAAAGTTAAACATAGAATCACCATATGATCCAGCAATTCTACTTCTGGGTATATACCCAAAAGAATTGAAAACAGAGAATCAAACATGTACTTATACAACCATGTTCATATCAGTATTCACAATAGTCAAAAGTTAGATATAACCCAAATGGCTATCAACAGGTGAGTAGTTCACCATGAGAACCTGATGATGAAAAATAAAGAAACAGCAAAACAGATGAATGGATAAACAAAATGCGATATATCTATCCAATGGAATATTATTCGGCCATCAAAAGGAAGAAAGGAATGAGTACTGATACATGCATCAGCATGGAGGAACCTTGAAAACATTGTGCTTAGTGGAATAAACCAGATCCAAAAGGCCAAATGTATGATCCCACTTATATCAAACATTTTTTTTCTGGAGGAAGAGTTTCACTCTTATAGCCCAGGCTGGAGTGCAATGGCAAGATCTCAGCTCACTGCAACCTCTGCCTCCCAGATTCAAGCCATTCTCCTGCCTCAGCCTCCTGAGTAGCTGGGATTACAGGCAAGAGCCACCACCCCTGGCTAATTTTTGTATTTTTAGTAGAAACAGCGTTTCACCATGTTGGCCAGGTTGGTCTCGAACTCTTGACCTCAAGTGATCTGTCCACTTCAGCCTCCCAAAGTTCTGGGATTACAGGCGTGAGCCACCATGCCTGGACTATATCAAACATCTTGAACAGGCAAATTCATCAGGACAGGAAGTAAATTAGAGGTCACCAAGGACTGTAGAGGGGAAGGGAGAATGGGGCATTATTGCTTAATGGGTTCAGAGTTTTTGTTTGGGATGAAAAAATGTTTTGGAAATAGAGAGTAGTGATGACTATATAACATTGTGGATGTTCTTAACGCTGCTGAATTGAACACTTAAAATGGATAAATGATATATTTTATGTTATTTATGTGTCACCAGTAGAGGGTTGTGACTGCAAGTTGTCCAGGTTCTTGGTGTTTTGAACAAAGAACTGAACAAAATGCCCAGCAAAGCAAAGAAAGAATGAACAAAAGAACAAAAGCAGGGATTTAGTGAAAATGAAACTACACTACACAGCGTGGGAGTGGGCGGAGCAGCGGCTCAAAGGCCGGCACAGTGAATCTTCTTGGGTCCAAATACCCTCTAGAAGTTTCCCATTGGCCACTTCATGCTCACCTCATGTAAATAAAGTGGTAGCCTGCAATCAGTCTCATTGGTTGCAGAAAGCAGCCACCCAGAGGCTGAAGTGAAGTTACAAAGGTCATACTCCTGTGCAAACATCTGACTGGTTGCAAAAAGCAACCAATCAGAAGCTAGGGTGAAGTTACAAACTTAAATGTCTACGCAAATCAGTCTGATTGGTTGTGGAGAACAACCATTCAGAGGCTGAAGTGAAGTTACAAAGTTGCAAAGGAAGACTCAACCCCCAATCAGTCTGATTGGTTGCGGACAGCTGATTTCCCATCTGCTGCCCAGAAAAGCCTGGGGCTTTGCATAGGGAGTAGCCTCTGGTCCTTTTGTTACTTAGGCGTAGAAAGTTAGGGTTTTCCTTTCAGTTTAGTCCTAGGAAGGTTTAGGTTCCCTGCCTTAGGTTGCCTGCCTGCAGACTATTCTCCTGCCTCATATGTTTTACTACAGTTCTTTTTTCCTTTTTTTTCTCTTTTTCATTTTTTTCTTTTTCCTCTGATTGTTAATACTGATTTTTTTTTTTTCTTTTTAAAGCAAGGGGAAAAGGCTCCTCTCTTGTCTCCCTATTTGCACTCCCCATACAGTAGCTGAGGGGTCCTATGAAACTCTGTCACCTCCAGCCTCTGCTCAGAACCGTGTCTCTCACTCCCTCAGAGAAAGGCCAGTTGGCCTCCAAAGCCCTGCAAGACCTGGCCCACGTGTCCTCCCAGCTTCCTCCAGGCCTCACTCCCTGGAGGCTGCCTCCTCGCTGCCTCTCTGACCCACGTCATTACTGCTCAATTGATTAAGAGAAGCCAGAAATCTGGATTTTTAGTGAAATTCTCCAATGTTTCAAGTACTAAGAACTATTGCAGGTTTTTAAAACATCATGCGGACCAAATGATACCTACCCGTGTGCCAAATTAGGCCCATGGACACCTGGTGGCGGCAAACGGTGGGTGCAGGGTATTCAGATGCTTCTCCCCATCCTTTCCTCTCCTGGGCTTCAAACCATCCATCTAACCAGCTGCCTCCTGAGCATCTCCACCTGGATGGCCTCCCAGACTTTCAGAATCAACAGGTTCCATCCTGGATTCATCCTCCCTTACCCTCAAAGAGAATCTCCAAGCTCTTCATCTCAGTCACGCCCCCAGCCCTCTTCTCTCACTCACCCCTACTTCTTGTCTCCTAAATCAGTATTTCTCAGCCTGCCCTGTTCCCAAGGCTCCTGCCCGGGCTCAGACCCCCACCATCTCACTGGATGCCTGTCCCTCATCGTCCCTTCTCTGACTTAGCGACTTCACTTTAAGATATAATTAGGGGAGTGGGTGAAGCGCACAACAAGCTTGTCAGCTCAGGTCCTGCAAAGAAAGGTCTTGATCCAACCTTGGGGTAGATGGATTTTTTAAATATACATAATATGTAATATACATATCAAACATAAATATAAAAATATGTATCATATATATGTCAAAGTGTAAAATTCTGACGTGTATAGCATCT